GTGAAAGCTGCAGTTAAACAGCAGCTTCATCCAAGAATGTAAATTGAGGGTATCTTTTTAGCATTTGGTAGACAGTTGTCCACATGATAAATATCTAGTGTTTTTGCTGTTGAACTGAACATAGAAACGATACCTTGAATCATGAGACTATTCTGGCTTCTTGGCTGCTGACCCCAAATTTTTCATGAAATATTTAACTATGTGAAGATGGCTTATCTTGTTAAAACAGAGCTGGTGTTTCCAATCACATTCCCATAATGTGTAGACTTGCTGAGGACTTCCAATGCCTTTTATCATCATTAAATCCATTTACAAGATCTGAAATAAGTAACATTATACATGGAGTTACTCCAATACTACTCATTCACTTGATATCCCCATATTTCTTGAAGGTTTTATAGCAGGGAAAATTGTAAGAGAGCTTTTTAAAATGCGGAGTTGTATGCAAAAAATAACAGGTCTCATCTTTAAAGGAACCAAAGAATTGAATACAAAATTCATTTGCTGTTGTTAAGCTAAATTTGGTACTTGGTAGGCAACATTGTGTTTTAGTATTAGTATTTGGTTTGGCTTTCTCTTCTATTTGAAGTAACTGTGTTGCTTGTTTTGGTGGGATGAGAACCTCCCAAATGGCCACGTCAGCCCTGGATGATGTTGTCAACCAGTTCAGACATGACACATTAATTTTTCCCCACGATAGCTTCACTGGATTATCGTGTATTCCTGTCAGAGGCCATTCAGAAGGGTGTCTGATCCCCAAGTGTTGGAACATTTTAACGCTAAATCAGTTACTGTTGATAGAGTGGGAAAGTCTGTATTTACTAAATACAACTCCTGCCGCACGTCACTAACTCTACCCGTGTGAGAGAATGTGTAGAGAATCAAATGAGCCCGTTTTGATTACTTTTCAGGTTGGTGCGTATCCAACAGGGTCAGAGCCTCATTAACAAGAAGAATGTGCAGCCTCAGACCGAAGGGATTCAGAGAGTGTAACTAATTGATGCGCAGGGATTGTAGTTTATATCTTCATGAGACACACAGCGATGACAGAGAATGATTTAACTCAAAACAATCAGTGTGCTTCATCCATGAGCTGCCACAGTGCCCCACTAACCTACGCATTGTAACAACCTCTGCTTTGGGTATCAATAAAGGATGCGGCCCTTTGGGATCCCACAGGAACAAGTGCTATCAGCTGACAGATGACAGCACACGGGGCAGTGGGGCTTCTCGCTGCTGCAAGAAAGTAGGTCATGGCCAAAAGTAGCCTTGGCTGCCTTTGTGGAAGTGTGCATGCGAGAGAGGAGTCAGCTGAGAAAAAAAGCTTGCACGGTTTTTGGGTTTGTCTTTTTAGCCCTTCCTTGCTGTGGAGCAGCTGGCACTACATGCCGTGAAATGCGTCTGCTTTCCAGTATTCTTGCATAAAATATTTTTAGAAGTGAATATGCAGCCCTTATTTCTGCTTAGGGGAAGTGGTACATGCTTGTGGCCTTTCATTTTCATTAAGAATTTAGAATTTTAATTAGATCAAGTGTTTTTAATAAACATTATTTTTTCCTTGCTTTCTTCACTGGAGATTGGCTGAAACTGGATGGTAGGTGTGTGTCGGGGAAACTCAGGTTGGAAATAATTTTGAACTTGAGCTGTCTGCGCAATATTTGAGCTCTCTTATGCTTCATCAGTAATAGAAATACATGAAAACAAGTACTTTAACTCATTTTAGGATTCATTCACTCCTGCTGTCTCTTCCCATGAAGACTGGCACCTGTTTGTGGCATAATGGTCATTTCCATGGCAACAAACTGTGTGACGATGCTTGGAAAGCTTTGACTTTTGATGGAGAATAAATAAAAGCAGATTCACGCACACATGATAACCCTGTTTTCATGTGAAATGAAGAACTTGAGAAGAAAAAAAAAATTATGCAGGTTTTCTATATCACGTTCTTTCATAGTTTCCTGTGTAACGTGTAGGTCTTTCAAAATTGGACCTACTGGAAGTCCTGGCATGCAGACTGGACTCACTCCTCTGTGGCTGCTCCGTGTGCAGTTGCCCGATGCTGCAGCCTGGTCTCGGGCACTGAGCTGCCTTTGTAGGCCATGGCAATCCTTTGTAGCAGATCATTGCCTGGTTTTGCTGTTCTGGTGCTCCAAAGGTTTCCTCTGACAAAACACTAAATCCTCCTCTTCTCTTTCCATGCATTAATCAACTTCTCAAAATATTTTTGAGGTGTTACCCTAATTATATTACCCCCACGTATTTTCTCATATACAACTCTTGGTCCATCTCCATCCCTTTTCATGAATACATTGCACAAAAAACATCCTTCATCAGAGGTACAAAGTTCCCTCGTGATACAGCATGGGACTGCTTGAGCACAAAGCAGTTGCCAGCTGAGCTGAAGCACAGAGCTGCTCCAGAGGGCAAGGTCACTTCTTCAACGTAAGCTTGATAGGAGGCCAGTCTGTGGCAACAAAAGTTTATAACATTCATAGAGCACTTCAGTATAGAGTTCTCATCCTGGAAAAAGACGCCAGGGCAGTGTATGTATTTTAGCCTCTGCATGAAAATCACTGTTTTTTAATTTACTGTTGACATACAAGACTGTATAAGTGCTGGTCTCAGTGGGGAACAGATGCCAGCACGAGCAGCTGATGCACCATGAGTAACTGATGCTGAAAACTAACCTTTTTCCATATTATGGAAAGATGTGACCTGAAATACCATACTATTTCCCTGGGTACGGAGTAAGAGTCCGAGGACTTCGCAGCATTTCTAACAATGCATCATATGTTGACAGATGAAACAGCGTACTGCAGTTTTTGCTACCTTTAAAGTCTGTACAGCAGTTTAGTCTGTCTTTTCCACTAAATTTCTGTCGAGGTATAAATCTGAATCTTCAGTCACACTAAACTGTTTCTTAGGGAACTGTTTCCATTTTTGTTTAAAGATGACCTGCTCATATGTTTTGGGGATAGTTCAAGTCTGCCAGGAAGATAATGTAAAGGCCTTCCTTGAAATTATCAACGTTTCCAGCAGTCATATTTCTAAAGAAGCTGTTTCTGGAACATAATTTTTGGGCTCTTGTACAACATGCGCACAGATGGATGCTACTTTGTGTTAACAAGTTGTTTAGGTTGAACAGATCTGTCCAGGATCATATGTTCATTTTGGCAACTCTGCTGTTCCCCTACTACTTCTTTGACAATTTTGTTCTAGTTAGAAGATTAATAAAGCTCTGCATTCACTTAGTCATTTCAGGACCTGCCCTTGCCTTTGCTGTCTTTCTTTGTACCCCAGCAGTGTGCAGATGTTGGTGTTGGATATTTTGAGAATCTGCTTAAGGAAAAACAGCGACACTGGTCTTCCATTGCCTAACTAAATATCACCTAACCTGGCCTCTTTCTTCCCTTTCCCATCTTATTCCTACTAGCCCTCATTGCTCTTCTTGCTAATAAATTAGCAGATGGTTACCTTTCTGGCAGCAAATGAGCCTGCCAGTTGGCTGAAAACAATTGGAGAAGTGCCTTCCTATAAACGAATGAGTCCAGCTGTCATAACATGTACTCTCTGAACCAACAATATGAATTTTGATTAGACAGAAGAAGCCCACTTAGTTTCACATGATTTCGTTATCGCTTTTTGCCATAATGATTGAACTAGCAGCGTCGGTACCACGGCTGGCAGATCTCCACTCGTAGCTGTTTATAAAGAGCTGTCTGGGTTATAAAAACCTCCCTAATCTGTTCAGGTGCGTGTTTTGAGAAGAGAACCAATTGTTTCTTTTAAAAGGCCTGTGCTGTGTGTGCTTTTAACGATCAATTTGGCAATGAAACTGCCTCTGACAGCTGATACAATCAAAGGGTTTGTTGGTTTTTTTTAATATCAAGATCCTGACTCAGCCTTGCAGCTTGCTGGGCTGGACTTTGTCTCCAACTGGGTGCTCCAGTCAAGCGCTACCTAACCATCCTGGCGGGCTGTGCTGGTGGGGCAACCCCAGTCGTGCTATGCCCTGTCATGCCGGCGATGTGCCCAAATCACATACTGACTCTATTAAATGACTGGCATACGTGGGCCTGCCTCATCATGTTACTGAAGGCGCACTGTTATTTTGGGCATGCTTGTGGCTTTCATGTCTTGGGGAAGGCTGCGGAGAGGGAGCAGCCTGATCGTCCAGAAGTGCTTGCCAGCCCAATAGCTCTTCCCTCCCTCTGTCAGAAGGCCCCTCCAGAGAGAAGGCAGCAGAAAAATGCCATAGGCATTCTTCTGATGAAGCGTGGGAGAGTAGGAGCTAGCTTAGTTTGTGGTGTCCTCTCTGGCGTGGGAGAACATTGTCCTCATTTCGTCAGCCTGCGGGACCTCCTGGCCTCAGCTGCCATCTCGGTTCCCTCTTCCGTGGAATTGTTACCTGGGGATTAACTGGCCAAAGATCCCTCCTGGGTCTGCCTTCATGACCCCAGTCTCCTCTCCGGAGAATTTGTGCCTCCATTTCTCTTCATTATTGCTAGTTATCATGTGGGCTCCACTACACATTCCCTGAAGTAAAAGAAAAATTACAGTTATTTCAGAAAAGGTAGTGAGCTTGATCGCCAAAATGGTTTGCTGGCTTTATGACTTTCATCAGAGGTCCCTTCTGAATTGTCACTTCTGATCAGCAGCAATGATCTTTGCCTCTTAGCTTTTCATGCAAACTCCCCTTTCAGTTTGTGCTAAGGCAGAGTTGTGCAACTTCCCAGAGCTCGTTCACTCTGGTTAGCACTGTACTGTGTCAAACTACAACACTGTAAATAAATGTATCCCAGTTCTCAGGCTTGGTGAGCCTTGTTTTTGTGGGCTGCCTGTAACTTAAATTCCCAGCGTTCTGATGATTCAGATAACTTGCAATATATTATTAAGAAATTATGTACTATTAAAATCCTAACACTGATGTTACAGTTTCCTTTTATTTCCATAGTTAGATTCCGTTGTGATTAATTTTTTTAATGCTTCATTTTCTTTAGAAACTAGATGCCAAATCACTTATAAAGCTGAATTTTGCTAAAAACAGTGAAGGTAAGTGCATTAATTTTCTGTGTGGGTTTTTTTTTCTTAATAAGTGCTTTAATAAATCCTGGTTTGACTTACTCATGGTAAAGTTACGTAGTTTGTGTTTGCTATCATGGTTTTTGTTTTTTGAGTAGAATAACTGCTTCTTGTGAGTGACATGTTTACCTTTAAAGTTCCATTTCTGTTTTTCTTTACACTGGGGAGCTGTAAATTATTCAGCAATTTCACTTTACTATAGCTACTACTGCAGTAAGATACTATTTACTTCACGGAAAATTTTCAGAAAAGGCTAAATTTTTATAGTAAGTTACCTTTTTTTAACTTGCCTATGGCATTACTTGCTATTTACTTGGTTTTGAGAAACTTTTTGTTTAAAAAATGGATTAGACTTAAATGAATACATGGGATTTTATGAATAGCAGCACACAAGAAAGCAGCCTCAAATTCTATTTCTGCAGGGTTAAAGGTATAAAATCTGCCATCTAAGAGAGGATGCTGGGAATAAAAGAGAACAGTGGAGATGAATTCATCTTTTACAAGGCAGATAATTATTTCTTTGAAACAAGAGTGGCAAGGATTAGGCGGGAATGAAATTCTGGAGTGTCTGTCTCCTTATCTTACCTATAGTCCATAGACTACAAGGTCTTTTCTCTAGCTGATGGATTTCTTCCACATTTTGTGTTCCATCTGTCTCAAGAGCAGAGTGTTAAAAAATGATCAATAGTCACTCTGGCCAAGGTTTTTGAAAGATACTGCAATATTGTGCTTTTCTTAAAGAAGTCCAGTTCATAATGCTGGGGTGGAACGATGGCAGCCACGCAGTCTCAGAAGCCTTTTCCTTAAAAAGGTGCATGCTGTCATTAATAGATCAAGGGAAGATGCAACAAAAGAGGAAGAGTAAAATGTTGCATTTCTGTCTTATCAGCAAACTTTTCTTTAAATTTTAACATGTAGAATGGTTGCTATGTATGTAGGATCTTCTCTGTTCACACCTATACAATAAAAAAGGTCTTCAGATATTGCAGTTTCTTCCATTTAATGATCCCTCCTTAGCTGAGTAGCTTCTATCCAGATCAACAAGCATGTACCCTCAGCAGCTCTGCTTTTGCTAGAACTGAAAATACGGTGATTTGCTCTTTTTTTACGCAGCTGGAGTGAGGCCTCACATTTTACCAGCCTGTTTCTGTATCCATCAGTTGGGCCATACCCAAAAATCCCCTTCTAAACTTCCTCTTGAATTTCAGACCCTTGTGGTAATGGCTTTCCTTCAGCTCTGGTGGCATTAACAGAAACAGTCCTCAGCTTTTACTTGTGTCTGCGTGCTGGAGGTCAGAATGCCTCCTCTGGCTGATCAGTTAATCAGTAAATACTCTGTAGGTGCTTGCCTCTCCTATCTTTGCAGGTGCTGTGAGCAGTCTCTGTTCTGGTCTCCCTGCTGGTTTTAATTTTCAGATGGTAATTAGGAAAAAAAGAACCAAATAGGCCCAACCTATTTCAAAAATCTCACCCAAACCCCCAGGTCTAGCAAACTGATCAAGTATTAATAACTTTCTTCTAATTGCTTTCTGCTGAGATCATCCAGACATTTTTCTTTTTACTTGTACATTGCCTTCCATCAGTTTGCTTGTTGTTGACATGCTTAATATTTATGCTGACCCTCCTGGGAAAATTCACAGCTTGATTAGAGCAGAAGCTGGGTTCCTTATTGAATAACATGTTCAGATTTAATGGCATTCTGCTTGCCACATTTGAATACAAAATGCTCTCCTCTCCTAAAAGCACAACAGCTGCTGTGAACTTTTTTGTTCACTGAAAATAGAGCACTGGGTGCGTTACAAGGTACAGGCTCATGCTATCAATAGAGCTTTGATTACCACAATAACAATTATATTGTGGTACTTGATACGTATCGAGCAAGTTGGACAAAGTTCTGTGTTGGGGGATTGAAGGCAGTAGATTTCAAAACTGCGTTTTCATTGCTTGCTTTATAATTCTCTTAAGTGTTACTTTTTCTGTTTGACACTGAAGAATCAAAGCATAATTAAAACACCATTAAATACACACTGAAGTTACACTTTATATTAAAAATTAATGTAAATGTCCTTCAGAGAAATAACAGAAATTAGCTATTTCAAAACAGTTGCAGGGACTTCATGCCAAATTTAAACTTTTTTCCCCTCCACCAGGTAAATACCACTGTCCAGTGCTGTTTACTGTGTTCACCAATAACTCCCATATTGTGGCCATCAAGACAACTGGAAATGTGTTTGCCTATGAGGTAGGTTCTCTGTTGCATTTCATTATTAATATTTTATACTTGATGCATTTCATTCACAATCACAAAATGCTTTAGAAAGATAGGTAGGTTTTATCCTTGTTTTACAGCCAGGGAAATTAAAGTACAAGGAGATGAACTGACTTCACAAATTGTTGTCCAACTTTTGCCTTCAAAATAGAAACAAGCCTAGAATATGATTTAAAAGATATTTTTAAAACCTTTTTCTAAGTTAATCTGCATGCATTGAATCTTGTAGACCAAAATGAGTAGCTTTTATATGCTCCTCAGTTGAACTAATAGACAAATCTTCTGTTGTCTTCTTTCTGATAGAGAATCATCACCAAAACACAAATTGCCTCATTTCTATTTATATCAATGAATAAAAAAGAGTATTTTAACTGGAACTAGGGAAAGAGCAGAGAGAATGCCTTAACGGACACTTGAACTGCATTTTTATTTGTGTTTTGTGAACATTTGTGTAAACGCAGGTGGAATTTCAGTTGTGACTTGTTTGCATAATCCTTACTGTAAAAGCAAGGTTTATTTATTTTTCAGTAGCAAATAAATCCTTCAATTAATGGATCCATATCCAGTGTTGTAAAAAGTCTGAACACTGAAACATCTGCTTTTTGAAATCTGATGGGAAATTTCAGTAGGACTTTCAGATACTGAGAGAGGAAAAAGCTGAAATCATTGCAATCAAGGAAAAGGCTGGATTCATCACATTTTTGAAAACTTGCTCTGTTGTAGTTGAACTGTCTTTATTCCAGCTGTGAGAGCAGTCAAGGTTAGGTTAAAATAGAAAGTATTTTCTGTTCCTTCTGGAAGCATGATGCTTTGATTGCTGTGGTTAAAAGGCAAGAATGAGTTTAAGAGTAGGCTTTGTTAAATGCTTGTTGATATTGTAAAACTATTGCTCAGTTTGCTACAATTTATAATACCGGGCTTCCTAAGCCAGCTGTGCCAAGAGGGTCTGTTTCTCATGTGGTGTACCCCTTGAAGCAATAGCATTTATCGGTTTGTTATAAGCATAGAATTAATTTACAGTCTTCTGGAGGTACTAGAAAAATACTCTCACTTTCATCTGAGGAGGATAGAGGATATTTGAGTGAATAAGACAGATTCAGTTTTTTTGCAGGTAGACCTCCATAGTCATCTCGCAGTATGATGTATTTGTTCATAACGACAAAGCATTTATTCCACATTGATTCTCACTATGAAATAACACGTTGCTGCTTTGTTGAGCGTCATTTAATTTTCTCAGGTGAACAGCAGTGTTGCTGCAGGCTAGGTGCAGCAGTCAGGGTGGACAGAGTGTGAGGGGCTAATGCAACTCTGCTGTTGTATGAGCTGGCCTGGGACACACGTGTCTCCCCAAGGGGTGCTGACAGTGGGGGAGATATGGACCCCTTTTTAAAGCTGCCTGTCTTATACCGTCTGTAAAACACTTAACTTAGAAAACTGCAAGCGAGATTTTTTTATTTTGGCCGTACTTTTATGATTAATTTGGTTAAAATGATATGCATAACTATGGAATGGAGACTGCAAGGTTCTTTTTTAAAAAAAAAAAACCAAACCACACAAAACTGTCGAGTTTTGTAGGGATGAAAGACAAAAGCTTCTCATCTGTTAAAGCACGCAATGAAAATATTGCAGGTGCCAGTTGAGAATGAAGGGTGAAATTGTTTTCTTTATCATTTGTACTTTAAGGTTTTATTGGTATCACATATTTACTTGTAATATTTACACATTAGAATCCAACTTTTAATATCTGTGTCTTTTGCCTGGCTGTTAGGCAGTTGAGCAGCTGAACATAAAACCAAAGAGCTACAAGGATCTTTTGACAGATGAGCCCTTCTCTCGGCAAGACATTGTGACACTGCAGGTAAACTCTTCTCTCTGTTACATGACTTACTATAGAGCTTTTTTGCAGAGGATGAAGTGTTGCTACGTACACTGTTATAGCAGGAATCTAGAATAATTGAACAGAGAAACATTGTGTGTGTGTCTTGGAGATGGGTAGAAGGGGAACTGCTGTATTTTCTTTATTATCCAGATGAGCCACAAAGATACCATACAACTTAGAGCTTGACAAATCTCTAGAATGATTATTGTGTGCCTTGTAGGTAAGCAGATTGTTCAACATTGCCAATTGAAGGAGGAAAAAAAAACGTGCCCAGAAAAAGTCAAGGATGCCATGTAAAAATGTGAATTTTGACAAATATATTTGCGGTTGCTCACTATTTCACTGTATCCGACTGAACATAAGATCTTGTGCATAATTGTAAGTTTTAGATATGAAACTACACATAAGATTTCGGGTTTTTTTCTATTAATCTTACCTGAAAAATTGCTGTGACACCTCCCATTTATTGTGAGACTTAACAGAAGTGCATTGGGAAAAGACTGGGTAGAGGAAAGGCAAAGATATGTCCAGAATCATCTTCAGCTCTAGAGAGCCAACAGTACGTGGTCTATGTTATCAAAAGAAACATCTTTTAGAATGTAAAGTATATAAACTTTTAGGAAGTCAACATGTTACATTAAGGCTGAAGCTGATTGTCCATCTTACTCTTTTGAAGATGCCTAAAAGAGTCAAAGCTTCAGAAAAGCATTTTTTATAGAATGTTTCTCTAAATGTAGAGTAAAATAAGCAGCAAACCAGAGGATTTTCTTTAAGTACTTGCTTAGAATGGTTTTCTTCTGAATAGATACCAATGTTGGTCTTTTATTGATTTTAACAGAATTAAAACCTAAATTAAAACAGCATTGTAAGTTTCAGAGTGTAAAAGATAGTTATTTACAGATGAAGTTTAGTATCAAAAGATCTAAAACTTTTGTTTAAAAGTAGGCATTTTTAAGCTTGCATGATTTCAAATTATGTGAAAAAAGATTCAATGATCATTATTATTGGCGTCATGAGTTAGTATGCATCTCATGAACAGTTAATTGCCACTAACCAAAACTAATACAGTCTAATTTGAATAGAAAAATATTTTTCATTTATGTCTAAATGAAATGTATCACTTCTTCCCTACTCCCCAGTGCTGAACAGCATGTTTATAAATATTTTTACTCTATTCCTTTGGGTTTGTGGCTCCTCAAGCTAATGCAACAAAGTAAAATGTTTTTAATCCAATGGAAGCAAAAACCATAACTTTTTCAGATTGAAAGCTCCCAACAGAATGTTATTTGAATGTAAGTGCATGGTTGCTAATGGATTTGGAATGGCAAAAAAAGTCAACATGAGTGACTAAAAATGTTTCTGTGCATCAGTATGGAAAATCGAATTATTTTGAACAAATAATTGAAAGGTGCAGTCATTTAAAAATATTTTGCTGTGGTTTTGCAGGTTTGGAATTAATGTATGTATAAAGAGTGTGTTCCTGTTACATGCCTAGCTTTGATTTTTCACAAAAGCAAAGAGATGCTGTAGTCCCCTAAATCTCAAAATACAATAGGTAGTAATTTAAATGTTCCCTATGTGGATTTTTATCAATATTTTTCATCTTCATTCTGTTCTTGACATGTTGGGTTTCTATCTTGCTTGGAGGAATATGTCCATTAACAGAAACTAAGTAGATTATGATAGTTGTCCAGTCACTGGTACAGTCATCCTGCCAGCTACATAGAGGTCACAGCCGTACATTGCCTGCACCTCTCTCACGTCCGTTTAGGATGACATCCGTAATGCATGAGTAGATTTGTTTCTCTTAAGTAAGCAGCTCATTATGGATTGGTGTTAACTTCTGTAGTGTACAATCTTGTAGTATACTCTTCTCAAATAAGTTTAGAAATAGCAATGATACCCCCATCTTGGGATTGGACTGGAAGAGATTTTAACCATCTGAATGCTGTTAACCAACTAAAGTTTGACCCTTTCACCCAATTAGTTTTTAAATATTTTTTTCAAAAAAGAATTTTCAACAAACAGCCTAAAATGGCTTCGGGGTGTTGAATGAGAAGTAAGAGCCATTTAATGCACTGCACAACACCCACTGCAAACTTGCAAGTATACCTTGATTTCTCCTATTCAAATGCTGCCCTACCCTGACTTGCTTTGTTGAGGCCAGAATGCAGCCTAAAGTGGTATGACTAGCCTGGGTATTAAAATTGGTTATGTATATGTGGTATAGGAATCTGTTGTTATTTTCTCATAGTATTTTCTTCATGTAAATTGTTGAAAGGCAGACCAGCGTCTCCTCTACAAGCTCTCTTGTTGACAACACTGCAGGCAGCATGGTGGCTTCGCACTGCCAAGCTCTACCACCTGTGGCTTTGTTTCTTAGCCAGAGTTCGTGACTGCAATCTGGTGTGTTTTAATTTGTGGCTCTAGAGCTCTATCCCAAATCCCGCTTCTCTTAAAAACCTTTCAATTCTGTGTTGAAATTTATCACTTTGTTGTTTTCCCATTCCCCTGTGTAAATTAGTATTGTGGTGTCTGAGAGAGCTGGAATTGAGAGTGGGTTGGTAACACTGACCCTGCTGTTTGGCAAAAAGGTAGATATAAAGGAAGTTGCTATAAAAAACATTCTTTGCTTTGCAAGTAACAGCTGAATAGGACTGTCTCTAATAGCTGTGTTTATCAATAGAAAATAGCATTTCCAGAGGCTGACTCTGAATGTCCTAGGAAGCAGATGGGGTACCTGTGTTTGGTAGTGAAATACAACATGATAAATGGAAAATTTGAATAATGTATGTTTACAGATTATTTGTATGATCACATTTTTCCTTACTGATACATAAAGGGCAATCCTACAGCTGCTAGGGATGCTCTTTTACCAGAATAGCAATTGACCTCAAACTTGACCTCTCTCTCCTAATACGTATAATTAAAAACAAAACAAAAAAAATTTGCTCTTTCCAGAAGAGAGAGAACTGCATAAAATTGTTTGTTCTGTTCTCGGTGCTAAACATTTTTTGAACACTAATCATAATCCATCCCTGTTAATCTTTTCTGGTGAGCACCATCTCAGCTGGTCGCTTTGATTTTGGTGATAGTTATTTGTGTCCTATTGCTATTAAATTTACTTGTTAAAAAGGACAGATTATTTTGGAATTGGAACTAAAAAAAGCAAAATCACAACTTCAGTTTTTAATAACACTATCTTAGATCTATGATGTGCTTCTTTCTGTAAAGGAATCCACAGTGCTTCCTGCACTTACATATACAGAAACTGCTTTTTTCCCTGTTGAAATGCAAATGTCCTGGGGTAGAACATGGCAGTTTTTCATCAACATATGGCGATATTATCCAGCCCCTCAGGGCAGGAAGTAAAGAATAATACCGTATTCTGGTGTGCAAGATACATTACCAAAACTGGAATGTAGTTATTCAGGCAAAAGATGTCATGGATTCTGGTTTAAAATCTTGCTGATAATGACAGAAATACACATGACATTATTCCATATGAAACCCTTCCTAGACACCAGCAGTCTTAGTATGACTGGATTTTTTAGACTGTAGCTCTTTACCCTCAAGTTGAAATTTCCTTAGCTGTGTGATCTTGCCACAAACTCAAGTCAAGCTTTCCATCTTCTACAGTGCAGCTGTTACTTTTTTCCAAGTTTCTCTCTCCTTACAGTTTATGATTATTTCAGATAATTTTTCTCTCAACTGTACTGGTTCGTATCTCTTCTAAATGGAATATTGCTGTTGTATTTTGCTTGTGTTTCTTGTAACTTGAAACCCACTTGTATTCTTTTACCTTGAAAGATGATCAGCTCAGCCTGACTTAGCATCCCTTGCAAATGTCATGAGTGTGCTACCAACTGACAGACAGCTCAAGTACTTCAAGATTTATTAGTTATGCTTAATGGTAAGGTATGATGTAAAGCACTTAGAGATCTGTGGGGACAGGGTATCTGTAATAGGAAGGCTGGTATTGTTGAAGCTTGTTTGCAGTGTTCTTACCTCCCTTTTCTGCTTCCCATTCTGGTGTGTTGCTATTCATCATTTCACTTTGCAATTGTTTTAAAGGTAGGATTCAGTATAGCTTTGAAAGAGTTTTGACATAGTAAGATTGCATTAGACTACAATTCAGAACTAGGAGATTCTTTCAGTCCTATGTTTTACAGGTTTTCAGCTAGTTTTCAATCTAAATGTTTAACCTAATTTGAAGTTATCTTCCAAGTAAATTTTTTTGGGGGTGTAATTCAGTGTTAGATCTCAAGGTCTGCTGTCCACCACTTAATCTGTGTGACAAAACCTGGTCAACAGTCTGGTAGACATTATTATTAATTAATGTTACTGTAAATTCCATGTATGTTTCAATCATATATTTTGCAAGTTATTCGTTGTGTAATGATGTAGAACTTAATAGCAAGCAAATAAATAAGTATAATCTGGATTCCCTCATATAAGAGTGGGCAGGCTGAAGCAAGCGCCTGCCCCAGCTCAAGATGCACAGAGAGGAACAGGGTCAGGTAGTGCTTTGCTGGACACGGTGGTGGGCTCTGACAGTCCTGTGGACTTAGAATCATAGAATCATTGAGGTTGGAAAAGACCTCTAAGATCATCGAGTCCAACCGTCGACCCAACACCACCACCCACTAAACCATGTCCCTAAGTGCCTCATCTACTCGTCTTTTAAATACGTCCAGGGATGGGGACTCAACCACTTCCCTGGGCAGCCTGTTCCAATGTTTAACCACTCTTTCAGTAAAGAAATTTTTCCTCACATCCAATCTAAACCTCCCCTGGCGCAACTTGAGGCCATTTCCTCTCGTCCTATCGCTAGTTACTTGGGAGAAGAGACCAACACCCACCTCGCTACAACCTCCTTTCAGGGAGTTGTAGAGAGCGATGAGGTCTCCCCTCAGCCTCCTTTTCTCCAGGCTAAACAACCCCAGTTCCCTCAGCCGCTCCTCATAAGACTTGTTCTC